AAAGAGTGTTCTTAAATTGCAACACCCAGGCTCAGCTGTGGGGCTTTATGGGAATGGTAGTCCTCCAGAGAAGGGAGCCCAGCCCAGCCCAGCCCTGTAGGCAGCAGGACTCTGCTTCCCACAAAGCACCAGGAGAAGACCCTGGGGAAAGCATCACTGGGTGGGGGGGTACTTTGCTGCTGACATTATTCAGTGCCCAGTGGAGTGAGTGCCTGGGCTGGCTGGAGCTGCACTGTGGGCAGAAGGATTTCAGCAATAAACGCTTTTAAAGGGATACCCCTCCCTCCCCTCTCCAGCTGGCAGCAAAGGCACCTGGGAGCTGTAGTTTTCCTGCTGCCCGCTGAAGGATGGCTGGGACCAGGGAAACAGCAAGCACACAGCCTGTCTGGGAAAAGCTCCTGGTTCCCATCCCGAGTCTCGGCTTTGCAGGTGCTGATAGAGTCCACATCCTTCCCCAGTTAAAGCAAGCAGCCTCAAGGCAAACAGGAACGAAGCTGGAGGAATGGGACTATTTTACAACAGCTCTCGGACACCTTTTCCGGGACCCATCACAAAACGCTCAGTGCTGCGGGATCCCAAGCTTGTTCCCCAAGCTGTCACTCAGAAATAATAATAAAAGCTTCCAGCTTCCACAGGGGCAGACAAAAGGTTAAAAAAATACCACAAGTGGCGTATACATAAGCCATCAGATTCAGACAGGCTCCAGGTCTCTCCCTTCTGGGGTAAATGAGCCTGCAAAAACCACTATAGCAACTTCCCGCAGAGGTGACTTACTGCAGAGGAACTGTCATATGTCTGCATCCCTCGGCTATTTTATCCAGGGGTAGTAGCCCTTTGCCACCAGATGCTGTGACAGAGCTTACGGTGGGCAGTTAGCTTTCATGGAGCTGTCTGTGTGTCTCCTCCTTATTAATTTGGGGTAAAGAGCTTCCACAGCCTGAGATTCTCCTGCAATCATATTATTGCTGCAGCTGGGCATTTAGAGAAATGGATACAGTCCTGCAAGCTGGCAATACCAAAGCAGGCCCTGGCAGAGCTTATTGCAGTGTTTGAGAGCCAAAGCTGATTGAAATCAGTGGAAAGATTGACTTCAAGAGGTTTTGGATCCAGGCCTTTATACCTGAAAACAATTTGGGATCCAGACTGTATTGTTTTGCTGTGAGTTTGTACAGGTCTAGTGCATGGTGCCACCATCAGATGGGCACACACACAGCCAGAGTTAATTAAAAAATAACACAGCAACAGAATTCACACTTTGCTACTGCAAACAAGACTCTTCCATGCCTTATTCCTATAGGGCCCAGAGGTGTAGCTTTGCATTGCAGAAGAAGGGTCAGAGGGAACATGGGTGTTCCTGAGGAGCCCACAGTAGAAAGGGAAAGCATGCCTCCTGCTAACCCACTTGTGTTTTCCCACATCCTGTGCAATTTAGAGTCACTCCATTTCCTTCTGTCTCCATAGCCTTTCTTCATTTCAGCTATATAGATTCATAGATTTTAGGGTTGAAAGGGATCTATTAGAGCATCGAGTCCAACCCCCAGCCCTGGGCAGGAAAGACTGCTGGGATCAGACGACCCCAGCTAGGTGCTTGTCCAGTCTCTTCTTAAAGACCCCCATGGTAGGGGAGAGCACCACCTCCCATGGAAGCCCATTCCAGATTCTGGTAACCCTTACTGTGAAGAAATTCTTTCTAATGTCTAACCTAAATCTGCTCTCCGTTATGCTCAGGGGCAACTAGCATGGGTTCGTTAGGGGCAGGTCTTGTCAAAGCAACCTGGTGGCCTTCAACGACCAGGTCACCAAGTCCTTGGATGCAGGTGTCGCAGTGGATATAGTCTTTCTGGACTTTAGGAAGGCCTTCAACACGGTCTCTCACCCCATTCTCAGTAAGAAACTAGGAGACAGTGGTGTTGATGCCTACATGGTCAGATGGGTCACTAACTGGCTGGAGAGCCACACCCAGAGGGTGGTGGTGGACGGGTCTCAGGTGTTTGTCCAATCTCCTCCTAAATACCTCCAAGGAAGGGAACAGCACCACCTCCCTTGGACGCGTATTCCATATGTTAGCAACCCTCACAGTAAATAACTTTTTCCTGATGTCCAATCTAAATTTGCTCTCCTTCACTTTGTGGCCATTGTTTCTAGTTACCCTGATGGGCACCCTGTTAAACATTGTATCCCCTATTTCCTGCTGTCCCTCCCTGATGAGTTTGCAGACAGCCACAAGATCACCTCTCAGCCTTCTTTTGCAGAAAATTGGAAGCTCCTTGTGGCAGGGCCTGTCCCTTATTAAGTGATTATATAGCAGCTTGCACAATGGGGTTCTCATCTGGGTGGGCTTCTCCAGATGCTAGTACAATACAGATAATCCATAGCCCCTTCGTTCCCAAGGCCCAATCTTGCTCTGCAGTCCTGAGTAGTCTGAGCAGCTGACACTGACTTCAGTGCTATGCAACTAAATCCCTTTCATCACCACAGGCTGAATTTTTGCTTTCTCCACCTTTCTTTATAATAGATCTCTAAGGCCAAAAGCACCAGTGATTTTGGGTGCCTTAGGTTTTGGGCACCGAGTTTATCTGGAGAATTGTTGATGGAACAGGTTTCCACTGAAAAAGGCAAAAGCACATCTTCGCAATACATGTTGGATCTGAACCAGATCCCACTGAAATCAGTGGGAGTCTCTTTTTTTAGACAGAAGCTGAATTGGATCCATTGTGTGGTGGGAGAAACCTCCCTAAGGTTTGTCGTCTAGCTGTAATTTGATTGACAGACAACGCGGGTAAAGAAAGACAGCTGTTTATTTGCTCGAGCAAAGACCATAAAGCAAGCAAAAGGCAAAATGGCCCCCCCCTAAGGGTGAGGTGATCTTTTATACTTATTACAACAAGGCAAGACTTCATGGTTAACAAAAAAAAGCAATACTTGGGCGGTGCTTTTCAAATCTTTGTAACAGCATATTTCTATTAAGCTGAACTAGCACTTTTTTAAAAGCTAAAAGTTAAGTAACAGTAACATTATAATATGTTAGCAAAACCTTATACAGTAGTAGATACTTCTCAAGGACACAACTAGTGCACCCAGAACAATGGTTTCCCTATCTTATCTTATTTCTTGCTGTAGCTGATTTTTCAGCACACAGACACAGAGATACTTGCTGCTTTTAACTCAGAAAATGCTTAATACAGTTAAAATGATTACTTGACACAAGCAAAGGCTTAGCTATCAATCTGCCTTGTGGTCAGCTGCATTGTTAGGCCACAGGTCATGCCTTGTATTCAGCTGTAAAGCTAATACTTCCTAATAATCTAAATTATTGTAAACCTAACAGTATGCTTATCAGAAAACTATTCTATTTCAGGGTAATAACAAACCTGCGCACTACAATTGTGAATTATACTGATAGCCCCACTGTGGTGGCTTTGTATAGTTAAGCACACGCGTAAGTCTCTGCAGGCACAGAAGTTTAGCTGATAAGTGTAACACAACCACACAGCAGACAGAGTGAAGGATACATAGGTATAACACCCAGCACAATTAGACTGTGACCCTGATGTGAGCCCTTGGAAGCTGTTGCAATACAGATAATCAAGAAAAATAATCCAGAGTACAGGCGACCACTTGCCTTTACCACACTTCTATCTGGCTGATTTGATGGAAAATTTCTCATGTAATTGGGAGCATTTCCAAATGATATATATTTTTGGCTCCAGCTTTTGTTTTAAACAAGAGAGGTTTACTGAAAATACAGGTGTATAAACAAAACACTATATCAGATATGTTTGCAAGCAGCATGTGGGCAAGAATGATGAAGCCATTTATGCCTTTGGCACAGTCATTTTGCTTTCTCTTGCATCGCTGCCTTATTTGAATGGACTGGCTTTTGGGCACAGTTTTCAAATGCTGCCTAAAAAAAAGTATTAGCGGCATTTTGTACGCGTGCTTGGCTGCTTTTCCTAAACTTGAAAGCTATTGATTTATAATTGCTAAAGTGGATTTGTGATTAATCGGAGAAACAAAGAACAATAATATTTAGCACATTTCATGCATAGATCTCCAAGGGCTTCCCCAAGGTCAGTATCATGACACAGATGGGGAAATCAAGATGCAGGTAGAGGAAGGGGATATCAAAGTAGCAGGACTAGAAGCAGTTCTCTAGGTTCCACTCTGGTTTATATACTGAGCCTTTCCACCTCTCCAGTATAGTTAAACACATGGAGGCATAAAGCCAAATTCTGCCACCTTTGTACTGCATTGCATCTGATAACACAACCCAGTCATCAAAGTAATCAGGAGAATACCTCTGCTCAGGGTGACAGATTGACCTGTGGATATCAAGGGCCTCATTCTCCTCTGATTTGCATATTTGCAGTGTTATAACTTCATTGGAGTTGCTCCTGTTTCACAGTAGTATTAGCTACATAAAAATGGGGCCCCATGTGATTGCTACACCAGTCATTTAAACTATTCAATTAAGAGAAGTGTAAACAGAACTATTTTTTTAAAACATGGATTTCATCCAAGTTCAAACCTTGTTCCACTTTAACCTTGAGAAGGCATGATCAGCCAC